ATTATAGTCTCCTTTTCCAGGTAAGGAAACAGAGGCTTAAAGGGAGGTGGTGCCACCAAGCTCACCCAGGTGGTTGGGGCAGAGCTGCGCCTGGAGCTCAGGTCTCTCAACTCCAAGGCGAGAGGTAGAGAGGGACACAGTGGCCCAGGGCAGAGTTTGGAGGCCGGTGAGCTGGGCAGCTGTGGGCAAGTGGTGTCACCTCCCTGACCCTCAGTGTCCCCGGCAGCATTCGCTGAGGCCAGGCCTGAGGGACGGGAGGGCAAGGACCCCCTGCTCCCTGTGCAGCCCTGGCCCCGCTGTTATTTTTTCCAGTGGAAGAAGGAAAACGTTTCCTCCTCCTCCTCACGCTGTGCCCTGGGCAGCCAGAGCCGAGGATGGACGGGGCAGGACGGGGAAGCCCCTGCCCAGGCAACGGTGAAAGGCCCAGGCCCTCCTTCTCTGGGCCAGCCTGGCCACCTACCCCTGGGTGTCTAGGCAAAGACCTGCACCGTCTGGGCCTCCATGTCCTCATCTACAAAGGCACTGGATTAGATCAACGTTTCCCAAATTTTAGGCATTTTGTACCACCAGGGCTATGACCATATTTGTCTTTAAGTTAACTCACGTTTTAAAAACTTTGATAGGGACTTCGCTGGTGGCGCAGTGGTTAAGAATCCGCCTGCCACTGCAGGGGACACAGGTTCGATCCCTGGTCCGAGAAGATCCCACATGCCTTAGAGCAACTAAGCCCGTGCGCCACAACTAATCCTGTGCTCTAGATCCCTTAAGCCACAACTACTGAGCCCACGTGCCACAACTACTTAAGCCTGCACGCCTAGAGCCCGTGCTCCGCAACAAGAGAAGCCACTGCAATGAGAAGCCTGCGCACCACAACGAAGAGTAGCCCCTGCTCGCCGCAACTAGAGAAAGCCTGCGTGCAGCAATGAAGACCCAACGCAACCAAAAATAAATAAAATTAAAAAAAAAACTTTGATAAATGCCTTTATCAAGCAAGCTCTACATCATTATTATACTTGGAAAGCCTGTAGTATCGCTTGCCAAAACCAGAAAATAACTGCAAATATTATAAAGAAAACAAGGAGCTATAAGTAAATTCTAGAATGCTGAGCTTGAGACCTTCTCTCTATTAAAAATGGACAATGACAAATGTTAGAGGCATTAAAGACACATTAGCCCCAAACAGAGTCCTTCTCCTTGATATAATCAGAAGTCTCGAACAAAAACTGAAAAGGGCCTGAATCGCAGTGTAAAAGCCGGCAGTCACTCCAGGGTTGGCGAATATGTATATGTATAACTGATTCACTCTGTTATAAAGCAGAAACTAACACACCATTGTAAAGCAATTATACCCCAATAAAGATGTTAAAAATGTTAAAAAAAAAAAAAAATCTGGTTTAGTTAATTCAAAGTGAGTTGATGCTGGGTGCTACCTAACCTGCCGTCCGGGGTACCATCCATATACCCTTGGTTCGCTCTAAAATCCCTTCTGGGAGGATACCCCACCACCTCTTAGCAAGGCCAGGGGAGATGTGGGTTCTTTCATTCGTTCGTTCCTTCCATCATTCACTCAGCCCAAGTTATCAGCATGTCTCTGCCCAACCGGGGGTATAGGGTGGCTGCCACCATGATCCATCCTGGCCTGAGGGAGCTGCCAATTAATGGGCAGAGGGGAGAAGGCACAGGATTTGGAGACAGATCTGTGTTCAAATCCTCCCCTTGCTAATAGCTCTCAGTTTCTCTATCTGTGAAATAGGTTTGATGACCCCTGCCTTTTCAGCTGGCTGTGAGGATGCCATCAGATTGTTCAGGGCAGTGCTGGGTGCAGTAGTTTGCTCTTGGTAGACAGTGGCTCTGCTAGCTACCATGAGGCCCTGATGGGCCATTGCTCAATGTAAGGGGAAAAGTGGGCATTTGACCAGTGCCTGCCACGTGCCCAGCACTGTGCTTTCTGGTACGTTCCGTTCTTCACATCATATAACCTCCCAGGGGCTGGTGTGCTATTATGATTGTCTTCATTTTACAGACAAGGAAATTGAGGCTCAGAGAGGGCAAGTGCCTTGCCCTAGGCCACACAGCACTTCCACCTCCAGCTTATGTGAAGACACTTGGACCCCGGCTATGTCTTCTGCGGCTAACCTGGCCCTGCATATCCCCAGCTCCAGGCGGCTCCTGAGACCCAGCACTCAGCTTGGCAGGTAGTTTGTGTCCAATGTGCCCGGAAGAATCCACTCTGCGCCAGACTGAGTTTCGACCACACAGAGCATTATCCTCAAGGTTCAGTGGGGGGAGCTGCAGGATGCGGCAAGATGAGCCTAGAGACAGGAAGGAAGCTAGGAGGGGCGAAAGGGGGAGCTAGGGGTGGGAGATAGGGAGGGAGACAGAGAGAGGCAGAGACACAGAGAGAGAGAGATACACACACAAAGAGACAGACAGTGGAAGGGTGGGGGGAGAGACTGGGAGGGAGAGAGAGAGAGACAGACGGAAACGGGGAGGAGCAAGAAGACAGACAAAACCAGAGATGGGGTGGCGAAGGCTGAGAAAGATAAGATGGGGAGGGAGACAGACAGAGGGATGATCGGGGAGGGGTGGGGTGAGGTGCACCCCGGCAGGGCTCCCAGGCTGCTTCCACAGGTGGCACAAGATAAGTCCTCTCCACCCTGAGATGGAGGTGGGGACATCAGTCCTATCAAGCTGCCCCCTGAGTGGCCTTGAGCCGCAGGGGTGGGGGATGGGGCCCCCAAAACAACCTTTGATTTCCTGTGTTGAATGCTCGTGGCTGTCAGAGCAGTGGTCAGACTGACAGAGGGGGTGGAAAAAGGCAGGCATGATGAGCACATGCTGATGGCAGGAAGGCACAGTGTTGGGGGCGTGGGGGACTGCTGTCAGCTTGGCCTTTCCTACGTCCCCCATGGGGCACAGAGAAACCCCTGTTCTTCCTTCCTGACCAGGCGGGAACAGGTGAGGGAGGCCACACCACCCGCAGAGCCAGGACCACGGCACCATGTGGGAGCCCCCCATTCTGAGAGGCCTGGGCTGGGGGAGAGTTGGGTGGGATTCAGAGCCAGCAGACTGGGGCTTCCAGACATTGTAGCTCCCCTCCTTATGAGCTGTGCATCTTGGGCCAGTCCATTCACCTCTCGGGCCTCAGGCTATGAATCTGTAAGGTGGGACAGTAATCGTACCAGCCTCAGAAGGTGGCTGTGAGGGTGAAGTGAGTCAAAACACGTGAAGGGCTTGGCATAGTGCCTGATAGGCAGCAAGCCCTGCTTGAGCGCCCTCACGTGAGCTCTGTGACCCTGTAAGCACCACTGCCTGCCCCGAACCCCAGGGCCCACCTTCTGCTCCCAGGTGAAAGGAGAAGCAGGCCCAGTGCCAGCTCACCTGTGGCTGGTCTTCAACAAATCTGGGAGGATTTTAGGTCCTTCCAGAGCCCCGAATAAAGTGGGTGGAAGGGCAGCTGGGTCTCCACAGGAGGTAACTGTGAGCCTCCTGGGGCCATCACCCCCCAGGACCAAGGCTCCACTCTGGGTACCCCGGGGCTTGGCACAGACCTGAAAGCTCCTTTTCACTTTTCCCTGATTTATATGTCTGACCCTTGATCTCTGGTCCCTGCCACTTGTCAGACCCCTTTCCGGGCTGGGGATCTTGGAATCTGAGGGGGCAGTGCCCTCTGCCCAGCTGACCCTGGGGGTGTCCATGGTTTGGGATCTAAGGTCTGGACAGTGTCCTGCGACAGGGAGTGGAGTGTCAGGTGGAGAGAGACAGGGAGGGCAGAGGGAGAGGAAGGTGGACAGAGGTGGAGGAGAGAGCGGGTAGAGGGATCGGGACGGACAGAGGGTCCGAGGGGGCGGGCGCGGAGGGAACCAGGAGAGAGGGAGGTAGAGCCAAAGGCAGAAACACAGGAGAGAAGGGGGAGAGAATACAGGGGAGAAAGGGGAGGGGCGGGGTAACAGACGGCAGAGCGAAAGCGAATCAGACTGAGAAAAGGAGAGACAGCACGCACGGAGTTGGGGTGGGGGGCGGGACACACAGAGACAGACACTGAGAGACACTTACCGAGAAGGAGGGAGAGACAGAAAAGGAAAAAATAAAACAAGCTCGAGAGACAGGCCAAGCGGCCAAGAGGGAGAAGGAACTAAAGCAACCAGCGACGGAGGCGGAGGCAGCTCCGGGAAAGGAGCCGCGGGCCGCGGGTGCCGCACGGGAGGGTCCTGGAGGGCGCGGGGCAGCCAGACCCAACAACAGCTCAGCAAGGGCCCGGCGGCCGGAGGGCGGGGCCGGCGGGCAGCGGGGGCGGGGGCCCGGGGCGCGTGGGGAGGTGGGCCCG